CCTCCAACCCAATAGCAATGGCCTTCAACCTAGAAGCGATGGCCTCCCCCTAAGCGCTGAGTGTACTACATCAGCTGGAATACAGCCTTCTTCGCAGGACAAACTGTATCATGCAATATAAATTAATGTAGCAGGGCCTTCAAGGGGTAGTTAATGGACACCCCTTAACGGCTAAGGGGCTAGTCAATCGACACCCCGAACACCACGGGAGCTCCGAGGACGTCGTGTGAGCTCCGTTCTGGGTCCTCCGATCTTGGATTCATACCAGCCCAGCTCAGCTCAGCTCAGTCAGTGTAAAATAGAGAGACCTCCCAACGACCCCAACCGGTTGGGGTGAAGCCCTATTTCCCATGCACACCCAAGGCCAATATCCATGTCATTGCTATTCGTGTGCTGGCTAGAGATCCCGAAGCTAGTTATGTTCAGGTAGGTTTTTCTGTCCTAGTAGCCATTCACAAGCTTGCGCAAGGGCTTGAAGAGTATCCATTCACCCTGTTGCTGTGGTTGAACGTTGTGGTATCGACCCATCAAAAATGATGAGGAGAGCATCGGAGCATCGAGTCTTGGTGAAGTCGACATCCCCGACGGGCCCAGGGCATCTCTAAGGTTCCTTGGTTTTGTATACGTAGTGATACAGCAGTTACAGCGAGTGATACAGCAGTTACAGTGATCACCAGGGAATCATAGTGATAACACGGGAGATTCTTGTTTGCTCCCATTCCCTGAGTTTTGTAAAACCATCAGAAATCGCCGCTCCACACGTTCCACCTCCGCATTCGAGTCCAGCTGAGGGTCTCGCTCACCTTGTGCCGCAACACCCGACTGGGGCCCATCAAGGCGTGAGCTCCGGCGGGAACTGGACCCGCTACCGGACGACGGGGGGCACGCTGGGTCCATGAAGCCCTTTGCTCCTAGTAGCGTCCTGGTCCATGACCAGCCTCCAATTCATGGGGCTGCTCCGGGCTGATGTGAGATTTGCTGAAGAGTTGTTCGTCTTCTTCCATCTTGGGTAGGACGAGATGGGTGTGTGGTTTAATAGGGAGGTCTTCAACCAATGTGTTTTGGTCTATTTCAAATGTCCCTTCTTCCACAAGGTTTGTCGCCCTATTTTAATACACACCCACAGCTTTGGATGCAAAGGCTGATACTTAGGGCATTTGCATCTTATCCGATTCGTGATCCTGAATGTATAGGGCATCCTGAATGAGCGCGTTCTGCACTAAATTCATGACACTGGCCGTGGCGGCCAGAAAGCGCTCATGGCCACCAACATGCTGTGTACTCCAGGCTTGTGAGAGCGGATCTTCTTCTTACCTCGCTTCCAATATCGTGTTTCTTCTCCACTGACTGACTGTGCTCCTCCGAGCCCTTTCTACATGTCAGAAACAGTGCAAAGAAGCTGTGAGCTCACTTCAAAGCACAAACGGGGCAGAGCTTTCAAGATCGCCGCATCCGAACACAGAACATGTGCTTCGCCTCCACCTGGGCGTAAAGAAACAAAAAACACAACTCTAGAACAGGTCGCTCGGTCGCCCAACGCAGCTTTTCTACGACTGCAGCCAGTGTTTTTACAATATTTTACATGCCTAGATGCCTATAGTCCCCCTTGGGACTCTTCAGCTTTGCAGCCGCAAATGCTGCGGTGGTCAATCACATGCCGATCGGCATCGCGTGTGCCATAACCTAGGTAAGTGCAACCTGGACATGAAAACTAGACGACGAGTGGCCCGAAAGCATTTTTCATCACGTAGGAAGTCAGAGTGCGAGTTATCCGGTAAGTGTGCAGTGAGAAGTGTGAAGTCGAGTGAGTTGAGGTAGTGTGTGGGTTTCTGTGCGTGTGTCTATGTCCGTGTGGAAATGAGTCTGCGTATGTGTGTGTTCGTGTAAGTTGAGGGAGTGTGTGGGTGTCTGTGTGTGATGCGGCCTCCCAAACCCCCCACCGGCGGCCAAGCGGTGACAGCCCAGCTCATCGTCGTGAGCATTTGGGCTGCTGGTAAGGGGACAATGGCAGCCAGCGTGCTGGCTTACCCACTTCAACTATGATGGTAGCCAGCGTGCTGGCTTTGCCATCTCAATAATGGCAGCCAGCGTGCTGGCTTACCCACTTCAACTATGATGGTAGCCAGCGTGCTGGCTCATACCCACTTCAACTATGATGGCAGCCAGCGTGCTGGCTTTGCCATCTGGACAATGGCAGCCAGCGTGCTGGCTTACCCACTTCAACTATGATGCTAGTCAGCGTCCTCCCTTTGCCATCTCAACAATTGCATCACCACATGCTGCACTGCAGACTGAACAATAACGTGTGAATCATCTGCCTCTGGTCATCCTGGTTGACGCTGAAGAAGTGGTTGTCAACAATGCCAAGGTTCCCTGGCATGATGGCTGGGCAAAGAGGAAGACCTACGAGCTAGTGGGCTGCAAAGTAGTAAATAGCGCATGCGTAGCCATAAGAAGGCTCTGGTTCATGTGCGATATGAATATTGCAAAAGCTTGTGGGTTGCGTGAAACTTCTTCCAAGTATATTCGTCACTGCTGTTGAGTAGATATTTTGGTAGTTGGCTCAAGTTGTATGGAGACTTCTGCAATGTCACTGTCAGCACCGACAGGTCAGCCACGGAAAATACACAGTCTGTTGGCGCAGGCGCTCTGAGGGCGACATGTGCTTCGCTCTAGATGTAGTTAAGAACCACTATGCTGTTCATTTTCTAATCGCCTCTCCTACAGAAACATGCAACAAAGTAGCACGAGGTTAAAAACCGAGCTGGAATGAACACAGAAAATGCTGAGGCAGCCACGCCAGAAGCGTCTCGAAGCAGTGACCTGTCAGAGGAAAGGCATCCATCGATATATATCTTCCGGGCAAAAACGTTTACTTCACTCCAGGACACAGCTTTTCTAGGATGTAGTTAACCAACCACTATGCTTGTCATTGAGTAATTGACTGTCTCAGAGAAAAACGGGACAAAGTAGCGTGAGGTGACACACAGCAGGCACTGTAGATGTTTTAGCGCACTCTCGTTGTTCGGCTCGCGACAAGTCTTTGTACACAGCAAGGATAGCGTTGCGCTTCCGCAGAACGACGTCCACACAGAATTTATCAGGAAGAAGTCACGGTATGAGACACACAGTTGGTTGGGTCTAGCGCGTCCGCCCGAAGCAGATCTGGATGGTGTAGGCATCTGTGAAGTTGCGGCTGTTGTTCCTCACCCAGTCGCGCCATCCACTGGACCACTGGACCACTCGCCAAAACTGCGATGTTTCTCCATGGGCAACCCAGTATCTGTTTGCTATGGACTGGTTTGGCCATCTTGCATGGATGAGCTCTGGCTGGTCATCATGGTATGTCCTCCTTCCATAGGACCAACAGAGGCACACCTGTCTCTGGTCATCATGGGCGACGCTGAAGAAGTGATCCTCAACAATGCCAAGGTTCCCTGGCATGATGGCTGGGCAAAGAGGGAGACCTACGAGCTAGTGGGCTGTAAATTGGTAAATAGCACATGCATAGCTATAAGAGGGTTCGGTCTGCACTCGACGCGCGCGATCTCCGCAGAGGGTTGCGCGGGCAGCCGGCGAATCGCACTCTCGCCTGCATTTCGCGCACTCGACGCGCACGATCTCCGCAGAGGGTTGCGCGGGCAGCCGGCGAATCGCACTCTCGCCTGCATTTCGCGCACTCGACACGCACGATCTCCGCAGAGGGTTGCGCGGGCACCCGGCGAATCGCACTCTCGCCTGCATTTCGCGCACTCGACACGCACGATCTCCGCAGAGGGTTGCGCGGGCACCCGGCAAATCGCACTCTCGCCTGCATTTCGCGCACTCGACACGCACGATCTCCGCAGAGGGTTGCGCGGGCAGCCGGCAAATCGCACTCTCGCCTAAATAACTCGACACGCACGATCTCCGCAGAGGGTTGCGCGCGGACCGGACAAATCGCACTCTCGCCTGCATTTCGCGCACTCGACACGCACGATCTCCGCAGAGGGTTGCACTTTCGGTTGACGCTGTTCGTCCCGCCCTCCGCCTTTAAGAGAGAATTTATAAAGTGTGGAAATGTTTTTTCATTAGGACATCTCCCGTGCTAGTTTTCCATACTCACACTTGCCTACTCATTGCATGCTTGCATGCTCAAAGCATGCTTGCGTACCCATCACTTGCATACTTACACTGCGTGCTTGCCGAGTGTCAGTGTGTATGTGTCAGTGTCAGTGTCGAAGTGTCAGTGTATGTAGTGCGAATGTGGTGGAAGTGTCAGTGTGTAAGTGTAAGTGTCGAAGTGTCAGTGTTCAAGGGATTTTCCGGAAGAACCCTTCGCAATGCTTTCGGGAATAACACAAACATGAAAGCATACATATGAAAACACACGTGAAATCGATCACATGTGAGAACACACATAAGAGAGCGCACATATGAGAGCATAGGCGTGTGCTCTCCACACATATGAGATCACGGGTATGGGTTCAAGCAAATATGACATATGAGAACGCACACACACACGTCAGAACACATATGAGAGCATACATGTGAGCACACATATGAGGGCACACACACGTGAGCACACACATGGGCGCTGCGCGTGCCACAAAGACTGCACTTTAAGTTTGACAAAGCGTTGCGCATGCTACCAAGTCCGCACTACACCTGCCACAAAATTTGCAATTCCAGGTTCACAAAGTGCTGCGCCTACTACCAAATCTGCACTTTAAGGTTCGCAAATCGCTGCGCATGCCACGAAATCTGCACTTTAAGGTTCGCAAGTCGCGGCGCATGCCACGAAATCTGCACGTATTCCAGGTCCAGAAAGTGCTGGATAGGCCATGAACGCTTTCCTTCAAGGTTGATATGCAAAGCGCTGTGTTTGTCAAAAACTCTGTTCAAGAAGTGGTGCGCCGGCTACGAAGTCTGGACTTGGATGCAAATAGACACGATTGTTGCACTGGCATGGGCGCCACATGGAAGCATGATTGGAATTAAGACAGTTGAGACTGCACAAGGCCCACTTCGAGCCAAAGCATATCAGTTGCAAAAAAATGGTTGCCTCTACCAAAATACGTCTCTGCGCGCGGTGGCAATTATTTTTGCCACTTTACATTCCCAGGAATGCTGCATCTGCTACATTGCGCACTTCCAGCAGGTTTACATGCAATGAATTAATTTCGCCTGCCACGAAAACTGCACTTCCAGCACTGCACAATGCCGCCAATTGAGACAAAATCTGCACTCCAAGGTCAACAAAGCGCAGCGGCTACCACAAAATCTCCACGTCAAGGTTCACAAAGCTGCCTTGAAATCTGCACTTCGAGGTTCACAAAGCGCTGTGACTGCCTCAAAATCTTCACATCAAGATTGCCATCACGCAGCCTGCCAGTGCGTTTCGCAACAAAAATGCCTTTTCCATATACAAGTTCCAGATGCCAAAGTGAAGCTTTCACGCGATACCTTCCCCAAGTTCTGAAAAAATTCACTGCACCTGCCACGAAAGCAGAGCGCGCCCAAGACCACCACTGAGTCCACAGTGCTGAGCCTGCCACAAGATCTGCGAATCAGAATAAAACGGCTCCAATCTCCTGCACCTGCCACGACAAGCCGACTTCAAACCACCAAAACACGAGGATTCCCTTGCAACTGCCATGAAAAAGTGACCACCAAGTCCGAAAATGCACACAGTGCCACAACGAGAGCAGCCGCTCCAGCCCACCAGTTTGCGCGAGCCTGCGCAATCGAAATGCAGTCCGAATAATATATATATACAAAAATACATTCAACTTTTAAGATATAAGCCACCGTAAGAACCCCTAGGGTGACCAAAGTGTTGCGGGAGAAGTATGATT